CTATATCATATAGTGAAATATGATATAATAGTGAAAATATGATATAGACTTGGTATTTTAATATTTGAACTAAATTTAAAAAGAGGGTACACCACCTTTTAAAGATATAAATAGACTAGTTTTGTTCAAATGGCATTGAATATTGTCTTTAAAATTAAAATTTTCAAAAAATTGCTTTAATTAATTTTAGGTAGCACTTAATTATAACTTGAAAAAGTTAAAAGTCATACTGTACTTATTGGGAAATATACTGTACTTATTGGGAAATCCACGAAAAGATTTTCTTTTGGAGCTACCAAGAAATATTCGTATTACTTGATCATTATATTCTATTGGTATTATATAATCATTATACCAAAAATGATAAAATAGAAAAAAGTATATTATGTACTCATATTTTAATATATGAGTATATATATATATATATATATATATATATATATATATATATATATATATATATATATATATATATATATATATATATATATATATATATATATATATATATATATATATATATATATATTTATAAATATTATGTTAACATATTTTAAATCATGTACTTATATGAACTCCACAATAAATGTGTAATTATATTTCATATTTTTATATATACTCCATAATAAGTTTGTAACTTCATATTGTTTACCGACCCCTTAAGTCGTTCATAAACTACGTCACGTTTTAAGTGGGGAAGGGGGTATATGTTTTTTTGACGACTCGTACGGGACTTGCTACTAAAGAACTACGATGTTGTGACGTGGGGAAAGGGATCAAAAATGGTCAAAAACATAATGGAATGAGGATCTTCCATAAATGAATTTATGGAAGATCCTTGAAGAAAAAAAAATTAGGGTGGTTCATAATTTATCAATGTTTAAAATTGAACTTGTATCCAAAAAATAAATAAATATTATTTTATCTTATATCTAAGACAAAATATTTTGTTTTTAAGGATTGCCGCCAGCCTAACATGAGATCAAAAACATGTGGTTCTTAAAACTAACCTTGTGGAAACTTTAATTGCAACTTAAATCGTTATTATTATTTTTTATTTATGGTATATTTTGATATAAATATCAACGACAGAAAAAAACTTATATATTGTAATATATTTTCAATCGTTGCATATATTATTCGATTCAATCAATTTTTAGTATATTAATATATTAGGGAAAGCGGGGGAGTTTGCGAATGTTTTGAAGACCCTAAGTTATTGCAGAACTATTAGCCATGAAGCAATAATACTTTGTCAGTTTGTTTTATTATAATGATCCATCGTCTGCATGAATTTTTAATTTGGAAGTAGAAAAAGTTTTAAAATTTTAAAAAAATTAAAAGTTTTAAAATTACTCTAACGAAAATTTAAATAAAAAAGGGTCACAAAAATATTATATTAATCTTATGATATTAGGAAAAAGGATATTCATCACAACTAATAGTTCATTTAGGTTCCAAAGATGTCTTAACGTTCAATTCCATTTAAACTATTCTTAAATATGTAAAGATAAAATCCGAATCCTTTTAAACTTCCTAAAATGTTTTTCTACTTTAAAAAAGTAGATAACAAATCTTAAAACAAAAACTCTGCCGACTGAAATGTGTCAAATGCCGACAAGACGACTATATTCCTTAAAAAACCGACTAAATGTTGAACATAGTCTTCTTTGGAGGACAAAGTAGGAAGAAATGGATTGTCCAGCACACGCAAACCCGTAAAATCGCTCCTGAAGATAGTTTTACTGGCGATGAATTTTAATAAAAATGACATTGAGTTTGATAACGTTTTTTTTACTAATTTTAAAATCCGCGTAATATTCGGCTACCGGTTTTAAAGTTAACAAAACGTAGCAAGATAACTATAGTATTATATCTACGTTTTTTTGTTTTAAGAAATTAGCAACTAAAGTTTAACAATTAAATATCGAATAATTTAAATTCTCAAAACATAAAAAAAGGAAGATAGAACCCTATAATTCTCATGCGAAAATTAGATACCTTAAAATCTTTTGATACCATTTTATATTTTAAGATGTTTACATATTCTATTGTTTATTTCTTTAGTTTTTTAAATTTACCCTGAAATTTTAAGCTATTATTAGGCTTTCGCAGTCAATGTAACCTAATAGCGTCAATTATAGCAAATAAATATCGAAAAAGTCACCAAGAAAGTAAACTAATTTATACAAAGTATAAAGTATATATTTATTAATAAATAAACATTTTGTTAAAACAACACATTACTTCACTAAATTATTCTTTTCTAAAATGTCATCTCATTAAAAATACAATTTCTAAAGATTTATGTCGAAAAACATCTTTGGCCAGAATTATAATATTACCTTTAATGCTGAATAATGATTCCAAACAAAAAAATTATAACCAACTAAGTTAAGTTTTTTTTATCGACAAAATGTTTCTAATTACTATTATTTAATAATAATTGTTGAAAATTCACGAAAAAAGTTGATGAGAAGTCTAAGAAAGCAGTATAAAACTTACGTAATAAATTTAATTAAAGTTTACAAATTACCAAACAGTTGCTCGGATACAAACAAATTATGAGAATATTATCCTGACTGTCGTAATTTGCAGGAAACACAAGGAAGGAAACTATTTGCGATACAATCATTTTTTTATTCGTTAGATTGTTATTTACATATCTAATATTATTACTTTAAAATTCTTAAAAATAAAAAAAAATTTACTCTTTTTATATATATATATATATATATATATATATATATATATATATATATATATATATATATATATATATATATATATATATATATATATATATATATATATATATATATATATATTATATATATATATATATATATATATATATATATATATATAAATATATATATATAAATGTATATATATATATATATATATGTATATATATATATATTCTAATTACTATTATTTAATAATAATTGTTGAATATATATATATATATATATATATATATATATATATATATATATATATATATATATATATATATATATATACATATATATACATATATATATACATATGTATATATATGCATATATATATATATATATATATATATATATATATATATATATATATATATATATATATATATATATATATTCAACAATTATTATTAAATAATAGTAATTAGAATATATATATATATATATATATATATATATATATATATATATATATATATATATACATTTATATATATATATATTTATATATATATATATATATATATATATATATATATATATATATATATGTATATATATATGTATATATATATATATATATATATATGTATTCTAATTACTATTATTTAATAATAATTGTTGAATATATATATATATATATATATATATATATATATATATATATATATATATATGCATATATATACATATGTATATATATATATGTATATATATGTATATATATATATATATACATATATATATATATATATATATATATATATATATATATATATATATATATATATATATATATATATATACATATATATACATATATATATATACATATGTATATATATGCATATATATACATATATATATAAGAGAGAAAAATTATAAAAATTAATTTAAAACGCACCTCTGTTTTCAGCAACACCTTGTTTTATTAATGTCTTGTCTTGACAAATCTACAGCATACGGCGCTTTTCGAAGATATTTAAAATTAAATAAAAACATATACTATTCAAATTAATTTTTGATTCAAGTAAATGCAGAACATTATTTCTGCTATTAAACGTCCAAAAAAAGTTCAGGTAAGGTGTTACATTTGTGTTACCTCCGCTTTTTCGTCACAATTGTCTCAAATATGCTGTTAAAATTTTTCGTAATTGCTATTAATTATAAAAAAAGTTATTTTCCTTTGCATTGTCAAGGTGCTGGTATTTTGTTTTACAATAATAATTATATTCATTAATTTCCCAAAGTACTTAAATTTTACACTCGTGAGTAAAACATATATAGCCGTTAGCTTTTCACCTATTAATTGTTAAAAAATATTACGTAAAATGTCTACCAATGAGTTCATTTTGTAGAAAAAGCACCAAGACCACAAAGCAATCAAAGTTTAAAATTCGCTATTATCTTCTTGTTCGAATAAACTTTTTTCTCGACTTTTTAGTCAAACTATTCAGATACCAAAGCTCAAAATTTTAACAGTGTAATGGTTAATCTACTGATTTATTTTTTATGATACTGAAAATAATATAAAAATTTTGCTGGATATACCACCAACATTTATGTCAGAAACTTTATTGCACATAAATCTACGCTATTTATATGGTTATACATTTTTGGCTTATAACAAATAAAGATCTCTACCAAATTATTGAGAGATTTTAAAACCATTTTAAGTATAAAATAAAAGTCAAAAGTACTGTAAAATGTATAATTTTGCTCAAGCAAGTGACATTTTAAAAATTGTAGGGTTTGTGAATTGGAAAAAGACGGGGGGGGGGAGGTTGACAGTCCAGCTTTTATGGTATAGCATAAAATTTTATACAACCTAATGATAGTCGATTTTATACAAAAGTTACTTTAAAGTTAATTGAAAAAAGATTTTATATAACAGTAACATTAATGGAATATTTCCTTTTTTCATGTTATACATTGCTTTAAAATAGACAACCGACGTAAGAGCAATTAAGTAATAAAACTTATAAAATTTATAAAAATTATCAAACACTTATTCGAAACACGAGCTTCAAAAGTTATTACTTTTTTTTTTGAAAATTATTAAATTGTTATAACTTTCGAACCGTAAATTTTCTGATTCCCTAAATGAATGATTGCATATTATATACAGTCATTATTTTTTTAAAGTATTTATTTAATGAGGTCTGAATTCTTTTGATGAATATAAATGGAATGAATGTATATTCTGGAAGGAAACGATAGAATATTGTTAAACTACTTAGGTTTTTGTACCCAAAAATGCAAATGTCGAGATATTTTGGAGTGTAAAACATTAAAAAAATTAAAAACTCTTTGCTGAAAATTTATTTAAAATTAACTTATAGTTAAAATATTATATTTGAATCTAGCGTCATCATTCCTAAAGCAAACTAATGTATGAATGGTATTTTAGCAGATTTTTTCCAAGAACCCGTATAGAATTCATAAAAATAAACTGCGCTAATGCCCATATGGATCTGAAATAAACTTTTCATTTGTATTTCATATACGGTTTTCATGTAAGTATTATAAGAGTTTATATAAATAATAATTAACTCATATTTATCATTTAAACGTGATTAAGCCTGTACCCATAGTACACACACGGCAAAATTACATTATAATCAGCACTTTTAATATATGAAGGAACAACAAATAGAAATAATAGATATTTCTTGCATAAATAATAACAAACTAAACGTAATCGTTTGCATAAAAAGTTTATTCAACAAAACTTTGTTTTAAAATGTGTTTTCTTATTTTATCTTTAAGACAATCTTCTTTGACATTCTATGACGTAGAACTGTCGATTTTAGATTTTTTACTTTTATAGTATAAGTAAAAAATCTAATATAGACAGTTCTACAACTATAGATGTAAATTTCAAAGTACTGTTCATTGGTTTTAGTTATTCTTAAGGTAATGATTGAACGACGTTAACTGATGAAAACTTTATCATGTTCAGAATGATATTATTTAGCATATAAACGACGCACAGTGAGCCAAAATCCATAAAAAACGGCAAAATAAGTTATAATGTAACTAAATACCACTGAAAGGCAATAATTAATTTTTTTTGTGATTAATTTTTAAACTTTCACCAATTTATACGTCTTATTCCAAGACTTATTTTTTTTGTTTTATTTATCGGAAAATTCGTTCACAAAAGTCTTGCTTTAGTGTCACTCTTTTAAAATTGATATGGGTAAAAACAGTTCAAAATTTAATTTAAAGTCATATGATTAAGATGTTTGTTAACTATTAACAACATTTTTGACAATAAATTTTAACTTTAGATTTTCATTACTGAGATCTCAAAAATGTGCTATTAATTGATTTTTTAAAATTAGTTTAATTATGAGTTTAGTTCAAAAACTAATAGATTCCACTAGATTCCATCGTAGTTTTAACATTTTTCCATTGATGGGTATATATGAAAATAGAAAAAATAAAAATCATTTGCCCCAACTTGTCCCAATTGAAATAAGACCTTTAAGTATTTCGTATTTTTTATATGTTTTTTTCCGTTTTTAATTAAAACTTGCGTATAAAGTAGCAAACAATTGCTTACTAATAACTTTAGTTCCTATGAGTAAAAATACTCAAAGATTACTAGACTTGAAGTTAGACCACGTTTGATGGTAAAGTGGTTAATACTCTCACTAATGTACTTTTAATTATATAACGTTTGCCCAGTGAACTTAATAAAACAACATTGATCAGATTTAAACCAATCAATGAAAAAGCATTATCTTTGGGTCTTTTTACGCTGCATTTACTGGCTCAGACCTTTTAAATATATTTTACATTTAGTATATAAGTTAGACATTATAAAAGTTAAATATATTTTACATTTAGGATATAAGTTAGACATTATAAAAGTCAAATACCCTACTGTAAAAGCATAAGTAAAAAATAGCAAAAAACTTCAACTGAGGTTTAAAGAGAAGATGAACCTTAAAGTTGATATATCCAAACAGGTTTTGGCAATGCTAACGATGGGAAAACTGCTAGAAGGGCATTTAAAAATGCTGGAACTTTTGCTCATATAACAGGAATAGCAGTAGATGTAGTTATTAGAGTGAGGACAATCCTACTATCAGTATGCTCCTGTTATGAGTTGAACTCTTAAAGTTTTGGCCACTATTACTATGAAACTACAGCCCTTATACTCAAAAACTATTGCTGGTATGTGACTCCTCCAAACTGTTCATAAACTCTTGGAACATGGTGTGCAGATATCTGAGGCATTAGAACTGTAAATTGGTTACTACTCTGAGGAATCGCTAGAGGTTCTGAATAAAGAAATTCGCAAAGCTAGATTAAAACATACAGATGTCTAGAAAGAATGTTAAGAAAACCAGTACCAATACCTCTTAATTAGAAGTGATCCTGTAATATCAAACATTTTTTTAAAAAATACAAATTTAAAAATGGAAAAACCCATACCCCTGAAGTTTTATCTTTGTTAATGCTGTAATAATGAAATAAAGCTTTTTTTTTAAACAAGGTTTTACATTTTTTGTTTTCTCGAAAGAAAAATTAGATAAAACAAATATTTATTTTGTATTTATTATATTTTAATATTATTATAATATTTAGCTGTATTTTGATTTTTTGAATCCAATTTTTTCTTTTAATCAGTAAGTGTTTTGGTTTGAATATCATATTCTCAAAGTCATTCTTTGTGCGCGTAAAAGACTCTAACACGTATACACTTGTGTAGTACGAACCTTAGACACAAGTTAAATTTATATTAAAAAGTATGTTGTCTTTTTGATCTAGGAATCCGATTTTTTTATTTAAATCAAACTTCCGCGTAAATGACACTAACAATCGTAAGCGCGCGTTGTACGCGTCATAGGTACACGTAAAAATTATTTTTAATAGCAAATTTTAATTTTTTGATTAAAAATACGATTGTATTGATGTATTACATGTATATATATGATAGTTATATAATTTTTGCCGTTTTTTCACCTTTCTGACTCACTGTGCGACGTTAACTTTAGTCAAAAAATCTCTGGATTGCCAGTTTGCGTGCGTTTTTCAAGTTACAGCCATAATAAGTGAAAACCATAATAAGTGAAAACCAATAACAATAAAATTTTAATAGACCAATCAATATCCAAAGTTTTCTGAGAGTGGTTTCTATCGGTACAGACATCTAGCGCTAAACTTGAATTTGATTTATAAGAAAACAAAGACTACGGATCATATATACTTTATCTTACCATTTTTTAATTATATCTTGAAATTATAATTTCACATTGATAAAATAATATCAAATTGATATTTGCAGAAAAATTATTACAAAAAATGGACACTCCAATTATAGTACTCCTGAATAAAAATTATTAATTTGACTGAAAAAATTATTAATTGAAAAACTAAAAATTTATATGTAAAATAATTTTTTAACTTTAATTTTGTAAAAACATAATTCTCCAAAAATAATTTAAAGAAATTAGGAAACATAAGTAATCTAATTAGTAAATAAAATAAAAAGCAAATTCTTCTTAGAACAAGCTCCTATGAAAATATCTTAAATTAGCTCGTAGTTGGAGGTTCTTCTAACCTCATTGCAGGAAGGTAAGTCGTCAAGTACAATAAAAATTTTCTACTGTCCTATTAAATTATTATAAATGTTCAATTTTCATTCAAATTGTAAATTGTAGTTCATGTTTCAAGTCTACACACACTGTAATTTGCATAGGTTGTTAAACAGCCTACACAGCCGGCAAATAACGTTGAAATATCGTTGAAACCTAACGTTGAATTTACGTTGATTTAACGTTTAGAATGAAAGTTTTTTTCAACGTTGTTTTATCAACCTTAAATCAACGTTAGGTTTAAACGTTATATCAACGTTGATTCGACGCGAAAAAACGTTACAAACGTTGAATTTAAAATGATAGTTTTTTTAACGTTGATTTATCAAAGTTAAAACGACTGTAAAACACTTTTTCATCATTAAAACGTGCTATGTATGTCAGAATGCATATATGTATGTAAACTATGTGCTATGTGCGTCAAAATGTGATCACCATCAAAACGTACTATGGAAGTACATTAGTGTTGTTGTATATTATCAAGGTATATTAGGGATATTGAATCTATTCATAGTCTATACTTAGACTATTTAGAACTTTTTCAGTTTAGATTAGTTAAAATAGCTAGGTATGATTAAAGGAAGAGATAAAACTTGTTTTATTGAAAAATATATTTAAATATTACATATCTTTACATATAATTAAACAAAATCTACACAAATTTCTTTTCTTTTCCACCACCTTTTTGAAATAGAGCGTAATTTCGAAAGTCAACCAATGTTCTATTAACCAAGGTTTCTTTTGGTCCATTGAATATAATAGAAGAAGTTGTAAATAAAAAAAATATATACAAAAAATCAAAAAGGGAAGATTTTAAAAAAATATAATGAATGGAAAAGTGTTACAACTTATGAAGGTATATTTTTTTCAACGCCATATAGATTAGTGTTCTTAAAACATATATATATATATATATATACAATACAAAACATATATATATATATATGTTTTATATTATATATATATATATATATATATATATATATATATATATATATATATATATATATATATATATATATATATATATATATATATATATATATATATATATATATATATATATATATATATATATAACATATATATATAACATATATATATAACATTTTCCACCTATGCCCTTCATATCCGTGGGGGCCATATAACTTTTTGAAAATACTCTGAATTTTTAAAAAATAATATAACTGTTAGTTAGTATTAACTTTTTCAAATATTTAATCTAAATAAAACAACTTTTTTTCAAAATGAATTAATAATCAAAATATAAAACATTTCTAGCATTGAAAAATAATTTTCGAGGTAGCCACATAATATTTTTATAAGAAATTTTATGTGGCCATTTATTAATGGTTTAACGCCCATGCTTATACACTTATGGGGCTTAAACAGGGATCAAATAATGTCATTTTTTATGTTAAATAGCATGCATTTGCTAAAGCAATTTTTTACAATTCCATGCACTTTAAGGCGTTAACCAGTTTTGCAGACCGAGAATGGGTATTTTGAACATTATACTTCCTTCAAAAATTAATTAGAGGATAATAGAGGTTTTAAAAGTGGTTTTAAAAAAAAGAGGACTTTAGAGGATTTTAGAGGAGCTGTGGAAACCCTGATTATAAATGAGGTAAGAGTTCAATACTGTTTTTGATTACCTCAGCATAATTGTGTGTATTCTATCTTTAGAAGACGTTCCACCAATTAACTGTAATTGATTTATCTGTAAAAAACATAAAGTAAATCTAATATTATGCTTGTGGAGATATATTATATTGTGGAGAACCATCCAAACCACACAAGTGGAAAATTTGTATCCAAGTTTCCACTTGTGTGCAAATCTTGCATCCACTTGTCAATATTCTCATTATCACACTTTTCTTTTGTAGTTGTGAATTTTTAATTTTCACAATACTGTTTGCTTTCTTTTGGAATTGAAATAGTTATACAAACAGTTATATATTTTGTATCAACAAGATAACTCTTTTTACCACATTATTTAAATAATAATAATTGTAATATATAGATGTAACACCTGAAGAGAATTTAGTTTTTATTTGTATAAACTTAAGCCAATTCTTCTCTGCATTTTAGTGCAGTCAATTCTTTGGTACCTGGAAGCTGACAAACAGTTTTAACACTAATCCAATTAGATGGAATTACTTCTTCTTGTAAATCTTCATTTCAAACAGCTCCTTTCCACATATTCGATTTTGAAAAAATTACATGAACTAATAATAAAATGAAGAAATCATAATATAAGTGTACTAACAGGCATAATTAAACTAACTAAATTTGAACATTTTATAACCATGATACTTACTAAACAATAATATTAGTAGACATTATAAGCAAAGATAAGATTTTCTTTATTTTATAAATTTATTATATTTTAAATTCATTTTTATTAATTTATTTATTACTCTATTATTCAGCAGAGTTCTGAATATATTATGTTCAAATAACTTAAGGCTCAATAACAAAGAAAAATAATGAAAGAATCCTAGGTTGCTAAAACATAAACATCTATATAAGACCAAAAAATAACTTATGACTTATTTTTTACTTATTTTCATCTAATAAACATTAATATTAATACCAATTTTAAACATTATTAGAATTTTTTTTATTAAAAAATAAAAATATTACATCAGTTACTTTTTGGGCTTTTCTTATTTTACTTAAAACATCTACTCAATCCTGGCTTTTTTCATAATTGAGTTTTAATTTGTAATTTTGAATTAACACTGAAAAAAAAAAAAATATTAGCAGACAAAAAGAAAATATGTCTTTATTGAAATATATGTAAAAATTTCAATAAAGAAATTTTAGATTGCTTTTTATAAATATAAATTTATATCAATCAATCTAAATTTTTTTCTTTTCTGCCACCTTTTTGAAATAGAGCGCATTTTAAGAAGTTAGACAAAATACCATCAATTAAAGTTTCAGTCGCTCCATCGTATTTAATAGAAGAAGCTGTTAATAAAAAAGAATTAGGAAAAAAAAAAAAAAAAAACACAAGGAGAAATTTTTGAATATATAAAAAATAAGAATAAAAAAGTTTTACATATCTTATAAAGGTATACCTTTCACTATACCATATAAATTAGTGCTCTTAAAGCATATTTCCACCTTTCCCCTTCATATTCATGGAGGTCACAAAATTGTTGGAATTTTAATAGATAAGAGAACTGATATTAATTATGCGAGAATTAATATTAATTTTTTTTTTTTAATTTAATTAGAACTCATTATCAAACAATTTTTTTGCTAAATAATTTAATCCTTAAAACTCCTGAATAATTATTTAGATTACCTCAGCATTATTTTGTGAATTCTGTCTTTTAAAAATATTCCATCAATTGCAATTGATTCACCTAAAAAAAAAAACATGTAAAGCTAATATTATTGTTTGAAATTTTAATTAACTTTATACAAATACTCATCATATTTTTCAAGTGACTGATAAAAATGGATTTAATTAAAATCACTTCATTTGTATTAAAAAATTAATATTAAAGCCTTAATCATACATTATACAAGAGTATTTTGTAATACAATCTAAATAGCTGTTGCGATTTGTAATTTATTTATCCGAAATTTAGCTTCTGTAAGCTTTAGAAATTTTTTAAAGAAATTATTGATGAATTTGGAGCTATGGGTACTAATGATTTTATATTGTTGTAATGTTTGTATTCATTCCCAGTTAGTTTCTGTAAGTCAAAATTTTTCAGGTGTTTCCATAATAAACTCTGTTATATCTGAAATTTAGTGTAAGTCTGAATAATTTAATTTCTAAAATCTGTTTTGCATTGCCTGTCTTATAACATCTTTACTTGGAACAAAAACCATGTGCTTTAAAAGTGAGCTAGAAGCTTTCAACCATGAAGAAAATATTGCATTCGCTAATCCTAAAAATATATTAAACCTGTCAACAAGATCAGCTGTCAGTAATCCAAGTATTAGCATCATTAAAAATTCATCTTTGCTGTATTACATTTATTTTGGTCCAAGTAGTTAAAGATTTTTTTAAATTTCAAAAAACAGAAGTAGATATTTTTTTAATTTCACTTTATCTTCTTTTGATTAATGGTGATACTGCACTAAATGATGAAACAGATTGACAGATGTAATGCCAGTATAAAAGTCGCAAGATCTATCATTTTTTTAAATAAATGTTTGTATACAAGTAAATTGCAATAACATGATTTGTTTGGATTATGTTTATATACAAATTTGCCTGGATTTATAGTAATAACTGATGGCTGTTTCACTCTATATAAAAGTGGGCATGACGTCATGAGTTTAGCAAAAAAAAAAGTATTTCCGCATAAAAAGTATAAAAATTCACTAACTTTAAAATAATAGTATTTTTTTTCTAGAAATGCTTTCATCTTTTAATAAAAAATAAATAAAAGATCTATCTTTCCTTGTTAAAAAAATATTTACATTAAATGGACTATAATAAAATATTGTTAAAATATTGAAATTGATTTGGGATCACTTTTCTGTTTTTTGAGATTTTTAATGAAAACCTGTCTTGGGCCAACAAAGATTAGCTGACATAGCTACATGCTTAACGGTTGAAATTTAGAGCACTTATTAATGAGTGTCTATTTTATCATATTCTAACGTTACTGGTGTGTATTTGTCAAAAAGAAAAAAATTTTATTGCATTTATATATTTAATTTTATTATTTTTAAATGTAAAATTTAACATTTTTGATCAGTAACATAAGTTATTGAAATTTTAACCTTTTATGCATAGGAAAACAAAAAATCTATTTTCTGTACCTCTAGCTATGTCAGCTATTATCTCTTCAAATTTTTGCGATTTTTTTATTACGTCTATTGTAGTGCCTGTATTAATTTGCATTCGGTGTAAATAATGTTAATATGTTTTATAATTGGTCTAACTATGTTTATATTACATATTAGTCAACATAAATATAATTTTTCTGATTATTTTTGCTAAAAAGTACCTTTAAAATTTCGAAATTCTGCCAAGTTCGTCATTATGCGCGTTTATTTAAAAATCAGAGCAGCCTTGGATTATTATATTATTAATAAAATATAAAACATTTAGTCAGTGTTCATATTCCTTTTACAGAACGTATTTTTCTTTAATATTTCAAAAGTTATGAAAGTTTTAGTAACACCCCCTAAGTAATTATTTTCAAAAAATAACAAGAAGCCGTATGTCTATTCTGAAACAGCCGTGTTGAAGCTAATTTTTCATATAAATCTTTATTATTTTTATTTCGTGCTGAAGTTCTTTTTTAAAGTTATCAATTTCCTTTTTTAATTCTTGATGCTCTTTTATAAAACAACACTTAACATTAAGTTCAACATAATTTAATGGATCATTTTTTGAAAAAGTTGTATTATTTACATTTAATAATATAAGTCTTTAAGCATTGTAGCCCAAGTTAAATAAAAAATATCGATTTTTAAACGATAATGCTCTTTCAGGAAAATCGCCTGAACATGTTTTCGATCTCTTGAAAATTCTATATGTTATAAGTTCAGTATTTACATTTTTTTCCATTATAAATCTCTTTAACTTAAGAGATTTAGAGAAATTAAGAGAAAAAAAGAGATAAAAGATAACTTAAACCGTTGAAGTAATGTTTACGTTTTTACTTCCATTTCTGCGCGCGCATAAATTTTATGAAAAGGTGTATTTTTGTCAACAATGATTTAACTCAACGTTAAATCTTAGTTGACAATAACGTTAACTAATAACGTTAAATAATCAACGTTTAAACTGTAACGTTGATTTAACGTTGAAATAACGTTAAATAATCAACGTTTAAACGGTAACGTTGATTTAACGTTGTGACATAGTTGATCAACGTTGAAACAACGTAATAATGCCGGCTGAGTAGCTTTAGATATGTTGTGGATTAAATAGCTAACATTAAGCTTAACTAAATCGCAATAAAACAGCTTAATTCTAAACCAAAATAATAACTGTACCTTAAACCAATAGAACTACTATATACATTTACACCTTATTTCATTTAAAGTAATCAAAAATCAAAAAAGATGTTGATATTTTTATAACAGATAATTTATCAAAACTAATAAAAATTAGTATTATTTAATAGAATTATTTTTATACTTTGAATATGCTAATATTCTCGTGAAGGTTATGTAAAAATATCTTGGAATGATACAAATAAAATCCAAGTCAAAAAAAAAATATTACCTATTATGAATAAAAATAGTTTCTGAAATCGAGATATAATCAAAATCCAAAAGAATTTTTAAAAAAGAAATGAAACCAAAAAATTTATTGTTTGTACATTCTTTTTGATATTTTCCACTACAAATTTTTTATTAAAAAGCCATACAACTGAGCAGCAATGCAAACCACAACGCTTGCAGTATTAATTTTGAAAGTCATTACATCTGTGATATCTATTTTATAAATCACAATACTTGCTTGGATCATAGCTTAACTTAGATTGCCTTAACCCAAACATAAAGGTTTCTAATAATCTGATACCTTGTATCAGATTATAATAACCTGATACAAAGTATATTTGATACCTTGTATCAGATATTTGTCAACTTTGAAAAACAAACTAAAAATGCTTTTGTTTTTGAACATGCAACATATAAATGGATATAAATGAATATAAATGAGAGAAACATTTTAAAGATATACATCAACATATAAATCATTAATAGAAAATATTTAAATGTGTAAAAATAGAAAGTTCTTTTAACGCTATATATATATATATATATATATATATATATATATATATATATATATATATATATATATATATATATATATATATATATATATATATATATATATATATATATATATATATATATATATATATATATATATATATATATATATATATATATATATATATATATATATATATATATATATATATATATATATATATATATATATATATATATATATATATATATATATATATATATATATATATATATATATATATATATATATATATATATATATATATATATATATATATATATATATATATATTGTCGAACGTTTTTAGGCATTGATTTGGGCCCCGCTCAAATTCAGAAATTGAGAACTTTTTTTTTTTTACGGCAAATATTGTTTTTTCGCAAAAAGCGTCAACGTGGAGGGGGGGGGGGGGGGGAGAGGGGAAGGAGTTCCGCCGCCCAAATTATTTTCCTAAAACAGCCTCTGCAAGTATATAAAAAACAAAACAAAAACAGAATGCAGAATAAAATCAATTTCTTTTGCATACAATTTTAAAATTTATGAAAACATAACTTTAAAATGCATGAATACAAATAAAAACATAGAAAAAAATACAAAACAAAAATATTTAAGTAAAAATATTATTTAATATAAACAATTATGAAGATCTAATAATAAAAAGAAAAAACTTCAAACTTTAAAAATTTTCAAACAATTTTTTTTTTCACAAAGCTTGCTTATCTCAGCCAAATAAAATGAAAAGTAACATTTAGTGTGTTTAAATATCCTAATAACACGATAAAGTAGAATAAACATAAACCTACTTCATAGAATGATCTGATTGCATTTCTCGGCTAAACATGAACAACTCTGATGTGTAACCAGTTACGTTGTTACACGTTGTGTCACACGTTGCAAATTAAGATATTTGTGAACATTTTTTCATACTATTTTATATATATATATATATATATATATATATATATATATATATATATATATATATATATATATATATATATATATATATATATATATATATATATATATATATATATATATATATATATATATATATATATATATATATATATATATATATATAATATATATATATATATATATATATATATATATAACTTTTACAAAATATATTTTATTTACTATAAAATCTTTTAAAAAATTTTAAATGTTAAGGGACAAATAAATAAAAAAAATTTCTAAAATTTACATTTTAACATACAAGATCAAGTCTATATTAAAAAATTGTTTTCTTTATTTTTTAAATCAAATATTAAAAAAAACATTTTTTTTGAATGACAGACAATTTTTTGAAAATTATTCAAAAAGTCATATAAAAACATCAGAGATAAACTCATACCTACCTTTTACTTTATTTATAAAAAAATTCTTCTAATGGTCTTTACTGTGTTAGGTCCATATTTAGTTAGAGATTTAAAAGATAATTCATTATTTTAGGTTTAAAGACTTTTTGAAAATCAAAAATGTCAATTTTTGCAAGAAAAAATACAATATCTCAAAATGTATTTATAGACATTTAAAATCTCTTGCTAAAAAGAAAGATATTAATGCAAGAAATGTAAAACTATGTGTATTGAAGAGGTAACTTAATGGTTTATCGAGTATCTTTTTGTCTTTTTTATCTGTAGACTTATTTATTATAATATAAATAATACGAAGAATGTGTAAAAATATTTTTTAATGAACAAAAAGTATAACTTATATTTAAACATATTAATGCATTAAAACATTTACTTTTTGACGAATTAAGCCACGAACCTTAGTTACTTTAACTTAACTGCAAAATTATGCATACTTAACCGCAAAATTATACATACTTAATGGCAAAATTATACATACTTAACCACAAAATTATACATACCGGCAAAATTATGCAGTTAATATTTTAGTGTAAAAAAGTTAAGTAAAAAAAGCAAAAATATTTCAGTCTGCACGATACTTACTTTTGATAGTCGCGCGAACAATTCGCGTTGGGAGATTTTTGTTAGTCGCGCGAACATTTCGCGTTGGGAGATTTTTGATCGAAAACTAACACCATGTTCAATTAGTAAGTAAATTTAACCCTTTTAGACAAGTAAGTCGGCAAATTTATACAGTCTGTCAACAAATATAGACCGGTCAGACAACAAATTTCAAAAAACGATGACCTTTTTTTTTGTTGGCTAAAATGGTAATGGTTAACCTCACGTGACACCTACTCGCGCCGTCCCTGAACCTACGACAATCAAAATTATTTATAACCCATTGTTATCTATATATTTTCAATTAGTCAGCGTAAATGATTCAAATTCAATGTTTTTATAATTAATTCAAGATTTTATTTGATCGAATAAGTAATATTTGAATCGAAACAGTCACACTTTCGTGTGATTTGAATAATGTATTTACACTATTACGCTAAAAATACATTTTAAGTTTCTTAAAATATATTTATAGTATAACTGTGTATGGTTAAATAAGAAAGAAATTGTCCCCAATCTCATAGAAAACTTATATTTGCCAAGCAATACTAATAATAATAGTCTTGTCAAGCAATAGAAGACGTAAAAGCAATAGAAGCAGCCGTAGCGCAGTTGTTAGAGTTCTGGCTCAGAACCAAGAGGTTCAAGGTTCGACGTCGGTTCTAACTCTATAAGATAAAAAATTGGTGAGGAAGAAAGCGTGAACTTCCTGGTTAAATGCTCCTCCACGGTGTTCCTCCGCGGTGCTCCTCAGCGGTGCTCTATGATAAAATTCGTCCCTCTATGGAATACTGCTGTCATATTTGGGCTGGTTCTTCTAACGATTCACTTTCTCTTCTTGACAAGGTCCAAAAACGCATTGTAGATGTTGTTGGACCTGGACTATCTGCTAAGCTTGAACCTCTTTCCCATCGTCGTAAAGTTGCATCTCTTTCTCTTTTCTACAGATACTATCATGGTCACTGCTCAAAGGAGTTATCATCTCTAGTTCCATCAACTAAAATTCATTCTCGTTTTACTCGTCATTTAGCTAAGTCTCATTCGTTTACTGTATCTGTCCCTGCATGCAGGCCCGCCGCGACACTTTATGACGCCCGGGATCAAAACTTATCTAGCGCCCTGTCATATTGATCTAATTCAAAAAGGTTTAGGTACTGTCCAAATACTGTTTTTTTTTTTTTTTTCAACTAAATTTACTTTTAAAGGCTGAGGGAGTAAATACAGTCAAGGAGGCTTCTATTTATTTTTAAAATAAATTTGAAATAAAAGTAAAAAAGAAGCACAAGTTGACAAGTTACTGAACTTTATTACATTGCGAGTAACAAAGAGTTTTAAATGTAATAGATATTTTAATTGCTTCATGAGAAATTGGTAAGCCGGTCTTGACTTATTGTAGATCTTAATGTTGTCTAGACCAAGCTTACTGAAAGATTACTCTTTCGGAAATGGAAACGAGAATCGTTTTAAAAATACGTAACAAAATGCCTATTGATTCGAAGATAGACTCTAGACCTTTTTAATAGATTCCATTTAATAGCTTCATTAAAGTAAGATATTCTTTTGCACTGAAAAGCTTGGTGTGCTTCAGAATATCTAGATGATGGACTTCTAAAATTGGTTTGTCTTCATCTACATTGTTCTCATAGATTTGCGCCAAAGTTTTAGATTTCTCCTCCAGGCTAGGTGGTTCAACTTTCTTCACTCGGCCTACTATTAGATTCCGAGAACCATAGGAAGGAGAAACTGTTTGTCATTTTTTCTGCAGCTCGAAATCTGCCTCTTATTTGTTGGATTAAAGTATTGAGAGCGGTGTTCTTCAGCCGTTTTTCAAAACGCCTAAAGGTAAAAAAAATCAAAATTGACTTTTTTAGAAAATAAGCTTATTTAGGTGCCTGCAAAGATTATTGAATAATTGTTTTTAAAGAAATTTAAAAAAGTTCATACAAATTATAATTTTCAAAAAACGTTTTACAAAAACTTTCTTGTATTATTATTTTTAATTGCGTTTTTCTCGAAATACGTAAAAAGCATCTAAAGGCATTTTGAAAAACGGGTACAGTGTTAAATACGTTCACTTCAAACTGCTTTTCATCGTTTTCGTAGAAATGAACTTCATCCCTTGCTTCTTTGTAAAAGGTTTTCCTCTTCCTTATCCTTTTTGAACTAACTTTGACTAAAACCCATAACTAGCTAGACCGGAGGTAACCAAATGTGCTTCATTAATTAATTTGGGCCAAGAATATCTAAATTCATAAGATCCTCGATAGGAACCCTCATAAGCTTCATATCTTCATCTAAAGTAATGTTTCCTGATTGAAATGACACGCTGACAATTACTTGGCGCACTTCGAACCAGAAAGTTGTCATGATAATAAACTCAAATGAATAAATCGATTTCTCCAAAGATTTTACGTCATTCAATAGATTAGCAGTTAAATCAAGTTCCCGATGTTTCTGCAAAGAAAAAATCATTTCTCTAGGTTGCTTAACCAACGGCTTCAAAGTCTCAATCTGTGCACTCCATCGGGTTTGTGAGGTTTAATGAAGAGACAAACCAGTTGCCATGGTCAAGATTTGACATTGTAAAGGGCTTCCACTAAAAAGATTGTAGAGTAACTGAATCCGGCCACAATAGTTCTTCATTTCTACAGAAGATTCAAAGGAATGAACACCAGCTAGGTTAAGGTTATGAGCGCTGCATAGCATGTAGAAAGTTTCAGGATTTCTCTGAAGGATGATCGCTTTTACTCCTTTGTACACACCAGACATGTTGGCACCGTTGTTGTACCCTTGACCTCGACAGTTCTTCAGATTGATGTCATTTTGATCATAGAAATCCATAATTATCTTGGCAATATCCACAACTTTCTTTTGTTTAAGATTTTCAACCTTAAGAAAGCGCTCCTTAACTACCTGTCTTTTATCAATAGCATTGTAGACAGAGCGAAGAACAATTGCAATTTGCTCAGTATAAGAGACATCAGGCGTTCTGTCGACAAGAATAAAATAGTAAATTACTATATGCGCATCTTTAATGATGGCATCGTAGACAATTCTTCCGCACTTTTTTATAAATTCATTTTGGGAACTCCAACCAAAAAATGCACAATAATTTGTTTACCTTCATGTTGACACCAGGAAACCTCATTCTGATGTAACTAAAGGGTCTTGTTGTGCTTTGCGAGTAGCTCTAGAGTTGCAAGAAAGTTACCGTTATCGTCATCATTGATCATTTTTGAAGAGTCTAAAACAACGATTTTAATTCATACATGTAATAATACATGTTTACACATATAAACCACGACTTTCTGTTTAATTTTAATAAAGATAAATTATGACATAAATATAAATATAATAATTAACATTCACTAATATACCTCTAAAGCGTGATGCTAAGAAGAGAATTACATCCAAGATGCACTTTAAAATTTCACGCTGCCTGGCTGCCTCATTTTTTATTGATTTTTCTAAACTTGAATCAATCTCGCACTGGTTTCCCTTTTAGCGCTGTTTTCCACCTATTGTAATAATCTCGATGGATTGTTTTGGTGGCATTTTATATATATATATATATATATATATATATATATATATATATATATATATATATATATATATGTATGTACATAACCGCAACGGTTTTGGCTAGTGTTAGACTCCCGAATATGAATTTGGCTAATGCTGTATTGTTGAGTAAACAATTCATTTTTAAAATACGAGTTTAAAGAGTGATTCATTAAAGTCCTGTGTCTCTATTTTATCATTAAAAAAAAAAAAGTTTTCATTTGTGCGCTTCTTCTGATTCTGCGCCCAGGTAAAAAGTACCCAGTGACCCTCCACGCGGCGGCCCTGCCTGCATGCTCTAAAAACTTTTATTCATCTAGTTTTTTTCTCCGCACTTCAATCCTTTGGAACTCTCTCCCATCTTCATGTTTTCCTGACTCATACAACCTTCAACTTTTCAAGTCTTCTGTCAACCGTTTCCTTGCTCTATAACTCTGTTCTTTTTTTTTCCTAGTAACTCCCAACTTGATAGTGGTTGCTTGCAGCCTTGTTGGGAGTGAATGCAAATAAAAAAAAAAAAAAATCGATACCTTAAAATAAAAATAAATAAAAAATTCATTTTAAGCATTTGGTGGTTTTTTTAGCTTTTAAAATAAGACACTCAAGCATATTTTAGATTACCTTCATAACTAATGCTACCGAATAAAAAAAGTTATTAAACGTTATCGTTTTATTTACATGATTTTTATTTTCTGTGTTTTGTTAGACTTTAAATATATTTTTGGATTAAAGTAAAAGTTTTGATGGAGAAAATTATTTTTTTTATTTTAACAAATTTGTTTAAATATATCCACCATACAATGGTACGATAGTCGTGCAACGTTTACGACGCAAAAGTAGCACTATAAATATCGCATGATTGGCTGTCTCATAACAATTATAAAACATATTTATTTATGTCTCTTCAATGCAATTGTTTGAGTTTTTTTTTAAATCAACAAACCAAAATCTATTGTTCCGCGTAAGCATAAAATCAATTAATCAAAATCTAGAGTAACACGTTCAGCAAATGGGATTGGATAAACGCATTTTCTATAAAACCGCGAATTCGGTTTTATGATTACAATGACGTATATTACTATTTTGATACATCACCAAAATATTTTGCACGAACTGGTTTTCCATCTTATTAAGCATTTGTTGAACAAAAACAAGACTAGCGTGCAGCCTTCTGAGGTGTATAGAATCTAATAGAAAAATACATAAAAAACTCAGGTCAAATATTTAATGAATGAGAGATGATATGTGAGACAGGAAGTTTACTCGTGGAGATTATTTATCTGATTTTATTTAAAAAATAACTTTTGCTGTTTTAAACCACGTGAAACATTCGTGCGTTTTCACTATTCTTCGTGCAGTTTAAAGTCCATGAGACTTTCAGACCTAAATAACGCGTGTAGTTAATATATTAGGATTATATTTTTGGATATTACCCAAATAAATAAATTCAATATTGAACAACGAAAATCAGAACTCTAACCGCAAGTATTAAATGTAAGTGTTTTTACGGTTAAATTTTTTAAACCATTAATTTTTTTTTTAATTTTCTTTCTTTTTCTCCGTGCAACGCCCGCGCAACAACATAAATACTTTTTTTAAGTTTGCGCAATACAATAACTTTCTCTTTTATTTAAAGTTTTTTTTTTCTATTGACTAGATTGCTTATCAAGGTAGGAAACTTGCAAATTTTATAAATGCTTAAGAAAAAATTGCAATAATGATAATTTATTTATTCTCTTTTAATGCAGCATAGTTTCGCAGAAAATGTTGGCGAACCGAAATTGCCGTTCTTATTCATTTGCACCGTTTAAAAACCTTCACGGATGTGTTTCAAGAAACTTTAATGAAAACACCAATCTATTTTGCGCCATTAACGAGGCGCCATTAACGTTAAAACACAAAAATACTGATCGTAAAAAAAAAAAAGTTTGCTTTGCTGATGAAAAAGGAGGAATTTTGTGTCATATAAAATTTTTGCCGAAGTTACGCGAAGAGTATTCTGACAATAATAGCTACTCAATAAAGTTATCAGATCATAGCACGTGGTCATTTTTGAGAGGAATAACTTATCAAAAATCCGTTTTTAGAGAAGAAATACTGATGAAGAATAATCTGTGCGTTTTGACGTATGGTACCGTTGAAAATAAGTATATATTTGGGTTAGTTGCAGTAAAACATTGTATAAGCTATAAAACTGTGCTTGCTCGAATAACTCTTAATAAATGGAAAACTTTTCGTGACATAACCTGCAAACTTACACAACATCAAAATGCATTAAAATTCGATTGTTATTTCTTCTTAACGTCAATGAATGGACAAATGTTTTCTGAAATACAAGAACTGATCGAGTTTGCAATTTGTTCAAAAAATAAGGATGAACAATCTTGGGATAATAACGAAGAGAAAAATTATTCATTTGGAGGCGAGCATTTGGTTAGTGGAGAAAGTAGGGGTTTAGTAGAAAATTAACTATATTTATAGTCTTATTTAAATAAATTGTATATAAAAAAAAAGAAAATATAAAAAATAAATTAAATTTTATATAGATATTTATATTTATTGCAGCTGTGACGCAGCGATTAGAGTTCTGGCTCAGAACCAAGAGGTCCGAGGTTTGATGTCGGCTTTGGCCAGTTAATCGATATTGGTAAGGGAGGCGTGTACTTCCTGATTAAATGCTTTTCAGCGGTGCTCTGTGACTTTTAAAGTCACAGAGTACTTTAACCTCGTGAATAAATAAAAAAAAATAATAAAGCGGAAGACAATCAGTTTCAATTAAGTTTCTTTTTTCAATTATTTCCGTTTTTAATTAAATAGAAAATCCAAGTACTTTTCTGATTTAGAAAAATATTTCACTTTTAATTTCATTGTCAAGTGTTTGTTTTGATTTTAACTCGCAGTGAGTGATTTACTTGTAAATATTTGCAGTGAGTGATTTTCTTGTAAACATGACGTTATTCTTTCAAAGTTTAGGATCAGTATACTTACATCTGTTAACAACCGTTACAGATCAAATCACTACAAAAAAACTTAGTAAGTACACAGCTGTTGCGATTGCTATGTACTTATTGAATTTCAAATAATGTGTAGTGGCTCTGTAATGAGGCACTGTTAAGTTATTAATTGAATAAACTGTTTTTTTCTACCCTTTAAATAACTTCTAGACCCCTCACAGGGACCAAGAGGTTATATCACGGGTGTAAAATTGCATAAACCAATCTGAAATAAGTGTTTTACAAAATTGTACCTTGTAAAAATTAATTGAATGTATTGGTATTTAATTAATTTTCAAATATATTTAGCAGTTTTCTAAAATATTTTTTTATAAAAATTCATTAGTAATAGCAATACTAATAAACAAAAGCGTTTGTATGTTTAACTTAAGTTATATGAGGATGTTTTGACAAAAGTTGTGCTTATTAGAGCCTGGGAACAAAAAAATTCAAAAATAGAAATCACTCATCTGGAGAAATCATATTCGTAATTTTGGTTCCCATGCTACTCTAAAATTGATACAATATTTATCTCAATGTTTGCTAAACGTCGTTAACAGTTTTGCACCAATATAAAATATCCGCATTTTGATATATATATATATATATATATATATATATATATATATATATATATATATATATATATATATATATATATATATATATATATATATATATACATATATATATATATATATATATATATATATATATATATATATATATATATATATATATATATATATATATATATATGTATATATATATATATATATATATATATATATATATATATATATATATATATATATATATATATATATATATATATTATATGATTATTACATTATATGATTAAAGTAGCGAAATCAAAATTACGATTATGATTTCTCCAGATGAGTGATTTCTATTTTTGGATTTTTTTGTTCCCAGGCTCTAATAAGCACAACTTTTGTCAAAACATCCTCATATAACTTAAGTTAAACATACAAACGCTTTTGTTTATTAGTATTGTTATTACTAATGAATTTTTATATATAGCAAATATTGGTTATCAGTATTGGCTATATATGAACTGTATTATAATGACTACATATTTTTTTATCATAATCAATGAAAAGCATTAAAAAAGTTTAAAAAAAGAGCACACTGAGGAGGTGTTGAACTCCCAACCGGAGCGGATCTTCAAATGAGGCCCTTTCTTTTTTTAGACAAGGTGCAAAAATGCATTGTAAGCATAGTTGGACTTGCTCATTCAGCCAACCTTTAAGCATTGTCACATTGTTGTAATAATGCTTCTCTTTCTCTTTTCTATAAATACTATAATGGGCGCTGATCTAAAGAGCTAGCGTCTCTTATACCATCTACTAAAATTCATTCTCGTGTTACTCGTCATTCAATTAAGACTCTTCACTGTGACAGTTTTTTAGTGCTCCAAAAAGTTTTATTCGTCTAGTTTTTTTCCTCGAACATCATTTCTTTGAAATTCACTACCTTAATCTTGTTTTCCTGATTCATATAATTTTCATTTAACATTCATATAATTCTTTTAAGTTGTCTGTTATTCGTTATCCTGCTTTCTAAACTTCATCTTGAAGTTGTTTTCAGCCTTGTTGGAAGTGAAGATGTTTTAAAAAAATAAAATAAATAAGGTTTTTATTATGTAAACATTATTTGTACAAGCGTACAATTAATGTAAGCAACAATGTAATGAGAGCGCTCGTACAAATTTATTTGAAGGCTCGTAAAAATAATGACTTTCGAAATAAAACATTAAAATTTACAAGAAAAAATCTTCCTGAGGAGAACCTAAACCCGCAACACTATCATCCGCGCCTCAAAAGAAGAGTGTTTTTTCATACACAGCACTTACGTTTTTTCAGTAACATTACAGGATTAATATTCGGACAAACATTGCACAGAAACAATAGCATTTCTTAAAACATTGCACAGAAACAATAGCATTTCTTAAAACATTGCACAAAAACAATAGCATTTTTTAAAACATTGCACAAAAACAATAGCATTTCTTAAAACATTGCACAGAAACAATAGCATTTCTTAAAACATTGCACAGAAACAATAGCATTTCTTAAAAACACAAGTGGTTGTAGGATTGATGATCGGACAAGCAAACAATATGACGTCATAAAAACTTAAGCTATTTGTCGGCAAGTTCTTGTCAAGATGAAAAGTTCTGGTCAAGTAAACGAATAGATTATAAAAGTTAAGAACTTACCTGGAATTTACTTAACTAAAACGCCAAAAAAACTCTGAATCCGCGCCTACTTGTTGATCAAATATTTTTTAAATTGTTTATCAAGGATGGAGCAAATTTAACTGGAATAGCATAATAAAAGTTTAACTTTTACAATTAATTAAAACTGTGAAAACTTTTTAATTATTTAATAAAAAATCTTTTTTTACATTGCTTTTAAGAAAGATGAGCGAAAAAAATGAAGAATAGTGAGAAAAAAATCAAAAAATAATACAAAACTTTTTAATAATTTTCAAATTGAGCTTCATAAAGATCTTGCTTTTAAATATAAAGAATCTTATTTTGCATACGTTGAGTTTTAAATGTATTAAACGTTGAGTTAATAAAACTAGGTTGGAAATACATTACACAAATGATACCTTGAGTAAATATTGATTAAGTAGAGTTTAAAACTAGTTTAGTCTTGGTTTTAAATGTTCTAAACTTAAAACAAGTAAGGCAAATATAATCATTTATTATTTGCAAATATATTCATTGTAATTTTATTTAAAGATTGTGTTTAACGCCGGTTGAGTTTATTCCTCCGCCCGGTACATCAACTGGTTTATGTGTAGAGCTCTCTATATAGTCGCAGCAATAGACCCGCCACTAAGAAACTAAATAATTTAAGTGACTCTTGTAAACAATTATAAAGTGATAAATAGTAATAATGTCAAACAGTTAAGTTTTCAATCTACCAGTAAAAACAGTTGAATTTTCTATTACTCGTAAAAAAATGTCTTTTCTCAACCTGCAAAAGTTATCAATAATAAGCATAATCGAAAATATAACTTTAAAATTTATGAACAAAAAGACATTTTGTAAAACAAATTCACAATCTATTAGAAACGTTCTATTCGGAAAATAATGACATTTAATATTATTTATAGATTTTCTTCTGATAATGATTATAATTGTCTAACTGTAATATAGTTTTAATGCTATTAAAATACCAAATATTTATTAAGTTATATTAATACTTATTTCTACGACATTATTAAAACATTGTTTCTGTGAGTGATGGACTTCTTTAAGAGCAGTTCTGGCCACTCATTGGAAATAACAACAATTTAGTCTGTGAATAAAGTAACTTAAACACAGTATAAAAAAGATTCAACTAACTTGTTTGTGCCAGTTTTTATATTGTTGATTATAATAAGTTATAAAGCATAATTGAAAAAAATAATAGAGTAAATAACAGGTTTTATGCATACTGCATTACAACTTGTGCTTATTGAATTGTTGTATACACACAGACACACACACACACACACACACACACACACACGCACACGTACAGACATATATATATATATATATACATAAATAAATATATATATATATATATATATATATATATATATATATATATATATATATATGTATATATATATATGCATATGTATATATATATATATGTATATATGTATATATATATATATATATATATATATATATATATATATATATATATATATATATATATATATATATATATATATATATCGTCACGTCCATTAGACGTCGTATAGACGTCCTACGGACGCGTGTGTCCGCTGATATATATATATATATATATATATATATATATATATATATATATATATATATATATATATATATATATGTATATATATATTGGCTTTATATATTGTCTTTTAAGAATTGATATTTCAATATAAGCTGAGATTTATTAATATATAAAATCCCCTTTAGATGCATGATAATATTTAGCATACATTTAATATAAACATATTATATGTTTTATTAAGTACAAAATATACAATTCAAAATATATGCGTGTGTGTTTATGTGTGTATATATATTTATCCCAGCGGGCACAGAACGTCCACTGGACGTTTATATATATATATATATATATATATATATATATATATATATATATATATACATATATATATATATATATATATATATATATATATATATATATATATATATATATATATATATATATATATATATAATACATATACATATACATATATATTATACATGTGCAATACATATACATATATATATACATATGCATGTGCATATATGTATATATGTATATATATATATATATATATATATATATATATATATATATATATATATATATATATATATATATATAGTGTATATATATGCATATGCATGTATAATGTATATATAATATATATACATATACATACATATATATATATATGTATATATATACTATATGCATATATATATATACATATAAATATGCATATATATCTATACATATATATATATATTTACTAT